CTCCTCCTCCCCGCCCCCCCCCCCCCCCCCCCCCCCCCCCCCCCCCCGCACCGGAATAGCGTCTGGCGTAGGAGGCGAGTGACCGTGGCCACGCGAGGCTCGCGTCCAGTGGACATTGTGTGTAGCTCCATGTTGGATGCAGCCATCCGTGTAGTCATTTCGGCGTCTGCGGCTACTCCAGCCCCACAGCAGCTGAGGGCAAAGGAAGGGGAGGGACAGTGTGGACAGGGATAGGACGTGCGAAGAGCTGTTTTCTTGCATGCGGGAACTAGGCTGAGGGAGTCTCACTAGATTTTGGGGGCAATGAAGTGGATCTTCTCGCAATTCTTGTCTGCCACGACTGAATCGTTAGTGGCCCTCGTATCCGCGCCCAGGATGACCCCGTCCTGCGGGGAAGAACGGCGTGCCTCAGTGCCCACCTGTTCTCTATCCCGGTTGTCCCTCAACCCACCCTTTAGTCACACTCCCGTGCTCACTCGGAATACAAGGCCTGCGATGGTGGTGCCAGTCTTGCGCGCATGAGGAACCCGAAGCCCGGGAAGGACACGTTCCAAGGATGCGTTTCTGGAAATAGAGGGGAGTGGCCTGGGTTTGGGTTCCAGTCCCAATGCCCCTTCCCATCTTCCTGCAGGTGCTGGTCTTGCGCATCTCCCAGGGTAAACCAGGACCTAATCTCACACTTCCCAACCCCCACCTCCTCCCGGAAAAAAGGCTCACAAGGAAGCACAGGCCTCTTGGGACTAAGCCTCCCTATTCACCTCTGGCAGTTCTCGAAGGAGAAGCCCCCTCGGGGCTCCTGCGCGGTCTTCAGCATTTCGGAGCAGGCAGGGAGGATTGGGATCAGGAGTTGATGGATCGGTTAGATGAGTGGGGCCAAGGAGAGTAGAAAGGCCTCAGCCTCTGCTGCTGTGGAGCTCCACGGCTGAAGCTGACACTTCTCGCTTTCGCTTTTGCCTCTACCCTCCTAAAGAAGCCGCTGGCCTCTTTCTGCATATTTTCTTTCACTTTCACCTTCACTTCTGGTCCTAGGTAGCTTGGGAAGGATAGGGCGTCCCTTTACAGTCCTTTGGTGCTGTTCCTTGGATCCTCTATTCCAATAGAGGGCAGCCCTTCCCCTTTGGTCATTGTTCAACTCCTCCACCCTCTTCCAATCTGATACCCCCAGCAATCTTACTCTAACTCTACTCTAGCCTCAGGTGCCAGTGCCCTAAAGCTGTCAAAGCCAAGGCCAGGTCTCAGTTAATAGATCAGACCCCCCTAACTTTTGTCTTTTGTCAACTTTCTTCTCCCAGTTTCTGCCTCTTTTGCTGTCTTTGCCTCCTGGAAGCCTCAAACATGAAGTTTCACTCCTCAGCTACAGTGATGCTGGTCCTCCCATCTCTCTCAAGAGGGTCAGTGTGGGCTGGGGTTGTAGCTCTGTGGTAGAGAGCTTGCCTAGCATGGACTGCAGCTCCAAAAAAAAAAAAAAAAAAAAGTGGTAGGTCACTGTGGCTGTCCATTTAGTTGCGTGGAGTCATACTGGGCTCCACCCATGGCCAAGCCTTGTTATTTCACCCCCCACTTTTTTTTTTTTTAAAGAGAGAGAGAGAGAGAGAGAGAGAGAGAGAATTTTTTAAATATTTATTCTTTTTCTTTTTTTTTAGTTTTCGGCGGACACAACATCTTTGTATGTGGTGCTGAGGATCGAACCCAGGCCGCATGTACACCAGGCGAGCGCGCTACTGCTTGAGCCACATCCCCAGCCCCCCACTTTTTATTATACATACCTTTAATCACTAGACTCAGCTAGCTAGCATCCTCTCTAATTACCCCACAAACCGCTCTCTCCTCCCTCAGGCTATACTCCAGCCTGTAGGACAGGGGTCTTTTCTAGCTTGGAATTGTTTCTCTGTTAAAATTCTTCAGCAACTGCACAGTGCTTTTAAAGTGGCCCATATACCCTTCTCAGCTCTCTGACCTGTACGCACCATCCTCGGGGATGCTTTCCTGACTCACAGGGCTCAGTCTCTTGCTGCTACCAACTCTCCCAGGCTTTGGTTGTACCAAAAATTGGGCTGAAAGTGTTCGGTAGAGCCCTTGCCGAATGTGTAACACCCTGGGTTTTCCCCATAACATCACACACAAAAATGTGTTCAGTGAAATGATCTGATTAATAGCTGTCACTTCAGCACATTTTTTTTTTTTTTTTGGTGCTTGGGATTGAATCCAGGGCCTTATATTACTACTAAGCTGCACTCCTGAGCCCCCAGATTCTGAACTCTTGTACATTTTCCATCTACCCCACACTCAAAAAGCCATCTCATCTACCCTTTTGGAGCTGGGAGGGATAGATGAAGTCATCCTCTCCCTGTACATCCATTCTATAGCTGCAAGTACAGCTGACTGCAGTTCCCATGCACAACACAAAGGCAGGTAAGGGCAGGCTGCCTGAATAGCTCAACCAGAATAGTAAGCTGCACATCTCAGTGTCCAGTTCAGCTTCAGATCTTAGCAGAGCCCATCTTGCCTCATGCTTCACTGAGCACTGGTCTGTGGCTAGTAATGCATGAATCCTCTTGTGGGGACCCTCGTAGAGCCTCCCCTTCAAGCCACAGCATACAGGGCTACAGCAGCAAAAGTTTTTTATTCAGGGGGCAGGGGCTCTGGGCTGGCAGTCAGGGGTGCAGGGGTGCCATGGCGGTAGGCACCCAGCAGGATGGCATTGATGTGCTCTAGTGTCTGGTTGCTGAAGACCATGTTGAGGTGCTGTGTCCCGTGCAGGGGCAGCAGGTGTACAGGCTGTGGTTGGCGGCTCTGCCAATGGCCACAGAGTTCAGTGCTTCGTGTGGCAACTGTGTCATCGCCGTCCTCATAAAGCACATTCACAGGGTCCGTGTAGGGGAAGCCATGGTCGTAGATGTAAGTGCGTGGAGTGGGCAGGCCCACACCATACAGACAGTATACTTCAACACCAGGTGCTGGGAGTCCTGACAGCAGGTCACGTGATTGTAGCCACATGTACCAGCCTTCTTCAAAGCGCAGGTCTGCAAAGAAGCGTTGGAAGTCACGGCCTGTGTAGTTGAAGCTTGGCGTGGAAATAAATACATGATCCTCAGGCCACACATGGCGGGAGGGAAACATCCAAGGGGAAGTCGTTGTTATGCGCTGCTCCTCTCTCAGCTTGATGCTGGACATGAGTGGGATACCCTGGTTGTCACCTGTGGACAAGGAGCAAGGTGCAATAGGAAGCTAGGCCTGGCTACCTCTGGCCCACAATTTGTCCCCGGTCTAAGCCCAGCAGTTTGTTCAAGCTTGCTCCTGCCCCATCCAGACCTGGACTTCTAGCCATAGAGTAGGCCTGATGGTACCTCTAAGACAGTTGTAGGGCCTCAAAAGGGTGGGGGAACTTTCTGAGGTTGGGGTGTATGGGGTGTTAGCTGGTCTCCCTCAGGCCCCAAGTAGGGTTCATGCTGCACAGCAACCACCAGATTGTGTTCTGGGAAAGATGAAATGAGTTGGTGCCTGTTTTGCCCTTCAGTGATGTAATCAAATGAGTGTCTCCTTCAGTAGACTGAGTGCCTAGGGGGAAGGCCACACCTGTCAATGCCCAGCACACAGTGAGTTCTCAACAAGTAGGAGTTGTATTAGCTCTGGATCCTTGAGCTACTCCTCAGGGAAGAGCAGGAAAGAGCTCCTAGGTCTGGCCCTAGCTGTGGTAGATCTGTCTTCAATAAGGTAGATCCTTGGGCACAGAGGCTCCAGGAAGCAGAAGGTAGTTGAAAGTTGGGCAGGCCCTAGGGTCATGACAAGATAGACACCTTGGGTTGAATCAAATTGCTGGAGTTCACCTTCCTGTTTACTTCCCCCTTGTCAACACTGGCACAGACTCTTGAAGGAATCATCCTAATAATGGTCCTGCCAGGGTCACTGTTTTCAAGGGACTAAAGAAAGCATGGCCCACGGGCAACAGACAATACTTCTAGGTGCCAACATGAGCAGAGCTGGAGGAAGGTCAGCTCCGTTCCACCCCACCTCCTACAGGATACAGAAGCCTTCTCACCTGAGGCCAAGACCAGCATGGGCTTGATAGAGCCACCCCAGGGAGCCCCAAGAGAGATGAAGCCATCAATGAAGCGGTCTTTCCAGGACTGAGGTTGACGTAGCAAGAAATAAAGCAAGTGCAGGCAGCCAAGGCTGTGTCCAATGAGGAAGACGGGCTTCCCATAAGCGGCGTGCATCTCTTCTACCAGCCCAGCCAGCTTCTGGTAGTACTCCTCTTGCTGGCCTGAAGGTAGGTGGATGGGTCAGGGCAGTTGGGATCAGGGGCCACACCTGCCCAGCCCCAAGCCCATCAATAGCAGACACTCACTGGGCTCCAGCCGCCAGTCATAGGGGGCAGCCCGCACTGTCTCATCCCGCACGTACCCGTTGTTGACCAGATTCTGTACCAGTGTATGCATATAACCTGTGGGGAAGCAGCAGCATTGGGGGGCTCTGCTGTGACACCTGTGACCCAGCCATACTGGCCCACCACAGTCTGAAGCCCCTGGCCTTTCTTCCAGTACACACACCTGCTAGCTTGTTGCTGTCCAGGTACTCAACAGAGTAGGTCTTGCCAAAGCCAGGGACACGGATCTGTACACCAGGGGCATTGGATACACGTCCAGAGCTGCGGTTGTAGACAACCCTGAGGGAAGTGGGGACATTCAGCAGCCTGTAGCCAAGGGGCAGTGTTTATAAGCTAGGCAGAGGGCATGGCACATACCTGGTGTTATCAATCCAGCAGTCCACTCCAAGGGGTAGAAACATATTGAGATCCAGCCAGATGGTAAAGAAGTCCTCTGTCTTGCGGTAGCACATCCAATTCACCACATCCGGTTTATCCAGCTTGGCTTCAAGCTGATTCCCCAGGCAGCCAGGCACTGCAGGCACCAGCTCTCACTCTGGACTCCTCGACTTCCCCCCATCCATCCCCAGACCAACCCGACCCCTATCTCCCACATCCTCTACCTCCAGGGACCAATGACACTTATCATCAGCTGATCACACACATCCCCACTGTACCCCCAGCAGCCCAAAGCCCAGACTCCCCTCAGGCAGGGAAGATGCAGGAGCCAAGGCCACTGACCCCTGCCCCTGCCAAGTAAACATCCAGCCTGGCTTTCCATTATTGCCAAAGTCCAAGGTGAGAATCGGGGGGGGGGTGGGGTGGGGGGGGGTGGGGGGGGGGGGGGGGGGCTGGGCCTAGAGTAGTGGGCAGGCCTTCAGGGACTTCTCCTTTTCTCCTACCCTGGGCTGGGCATCTTGTCCTTGGTAGGATAGGGGCTAAGGAAGGAGAGGTGGGGCCTGACCCAGGCTCTAGTGTGGCTGTAGCTGACCACGCCTTGTAATGTTCCGGCCAAGACTTCAGTCCCCCCACAGCTCCGCCCCACCTCCAAGTAAATAACTCAGAGACAGGGAAAACTGTGGTGGGGAAGGGGGGGAATTTCTCTGCAGGACAAGCCTTTGGCCCCTCCCCATGCTGAGGAAGGTATCAGGGCTAATGCAGGGGCAGAAGGGCCTTGGCACTGTCTGCTGCAAGGGTTTGGGGCCCAGGCTTCCCATGCTGGCCTAGTGCATCAAGGGCCTGACGGGGGCTTACCGAGGATGACGGGCCGAGTGTGGTTACTGAGCTCAGCCTTGGGCGTGGTGTGCGGGGGGAAGAGCACATTGAGGAGCCAGAAGGGGGTGGCAGGGGGGAGCAGCAGCCCCAGCAGCAGCAGTACCCACTGCCATGGGGAGCCGGGCGGCCCCATTCCAGCCCAGTGCCTACTGCCAGATGAAGCAGTGCTGGGCAGGCCTTATCTGGTATGTGGGTGGGAGGGGCCCAGGGCTTGTGGGAGGGACAGCCTGGCCAATGGGGGTGGCCAGTGATTGCTATTGCTGGGAAAAGCCCTAGCCTCAGGGAGCCAGATCTGGGCTTGGGTTCATTTCCGCCCTCTTCCACTGGCACCAAGGGAAACAGAGCAGGGGCAGCGGGAGGCCCAGAAGTACACAATGTTTTATTGAAGAAAGTCAGGCCTTAGCTCGGCCAGCTCCATTCCACTTGGTTTAATGGGGGTCCCTGCCCACAGTAGTCTGAGCCAGGTCTTCCTGCAAGCAGGATGAGTTCAACCCCCGCCCTTTCTGCCCTTCCCCTTCTCCCAAATGGTGTCATCCAAACAATAAATATACAATAAATAGTGCTCTTGGGCTGGGCCTTAAAACCCACATCAGCCCCCACCGGTCGTCTTTAGCCAGGGCATCCTACTGGGGTATTGGAGAGGAAAGTCCCTAAACCTCCCAAGGTCCCACAGGAACTCAAATCCATCTCTGTTGCCAGGCCCAGACCTGGTTTCCCAGGAGACCTAGCAAAGCTGGCCCAAGGCAAGGCTGGGCAAAGCAGAACTGGCAAGTAGGTGCTCAGGTGGGGGCTATTGCCTTGGATACCCCCACTCTAGGCCATAAGAAAGACCACACTGGGCTCAGGAATAGATGGTAATGACTTCACGACCACCACCACGCACCAACAGCACCCGTTCAAGGCCCTCAGTCAGCACTTCAAGGAACTCCATGTCTATAGGCATCAGGTCAAGGAGGCAGCAGCAGGACCAAGGGGCAATCAGGGCCACCCCCACCCAAGGGCACCCCAGGAGGAAAACTCCTGGCCTGACCTCACACTTTGCCCACCTCCCCATGGCCTGCCTCTCCACAAAGGGATACAATTCTCATCACCTTCACTGTTCTTGGGTGGGCCAGGCATGTTCAGTAGGACTAGGCGGGCATCATGGGATCGTGTGACAATGACTTCATTGAGCTTCACAGCAGTGTGCATACGCCGCACATTGGACTGGTCTCTGACATAAAGAACCAGAATCTAGCAAAGGAAGCCTCTGTCCCTGCCCACCCAACCCAGCCTGTCTGTCCCACACTGCGTCTTCCCCAGGGCCCAACAAAGCTGGGTCTGTATTTGCTACACTCACGGCTTAATGTGAACCAGCTCCCGGAAGTTGTCAGGGGCATGGCTGGGGTCCCAGGGCTCAGTCATGAACTTGTCCCGGGTCCATGTCATCTGGATCTTATCGGCCCCTGCAGCAGACTCATCTTCCTCATCTGAGTATAGGCTCTCCAGCCGCAGGGCTGAGTGCCGGTCCTTGACTAGTTGGGCCTGAGAACAGAGGAGATGGCCTGGGCACCCTAAGAAAAGGAGGGCCTGACTGGACTGACATGATTACTCTGCCTCCAGGAAATGGGCACTGGCTTAGGTAGGGCCAGGATGAGTCAGTCTGATGTCCCCATAGGATGGTGTCTCCAAAGGCCTGACCCCCCCCCCCCCCCCCAGCCTGAACCAAGGCAGCCACTGACTTCACGCTCCCTTTCAGTCTTGGTCAGCCTCATTTGCCGCAGCATCTGGGACCGCTGCTCCATCATCAGTGTGCGCTCATAGGTATATGCAGATATGTCGCTATTATGCTGGGGAGAGAGGAGGCTGTGAAGATGTGGTTGCATGGCACTTGGTATCTTGAAGGCAAGGGTGGGGTAGGCAGCTCACCATCTCCACCACCTCCACCTCTGCCTCAAGGCGGAGGTGGTATAGGAAGATGGCCAGATCCTTCTTCATCTGGATGCTGTTGTCATCCATCTGGGCAACTGTGAAGATGCGCATCCTGCACTTTCTCCAAACCTATGGCAACGGAACAGGGGGGGTGGTTCAGTGTCATGTAGTCCTCCAAGAGCATAGCCATTCTCACCCAAGACCATTCACCTGGCCTACCTTATGTTGGCGCAGCAGGAAGGGCAAAAGCATGAGCATGCCACCGTCATGTACAATCCACCACACATCGATGTGGCCCTCCAGGTAGCGCTCGTGGTTGCTGGGGTAGAAGGCAATGTTCTTGGGCACAAGCAGGGCCAAGTGGGCAGCTGTGGTGCAGCGCACTGTATCTGGGGAAAAGGAGCACTACTGACCATCAGCCTGTGTCCCTCAAGCCTCTGCCACCCCATGACCCTGGCCCCTGGCCCTTCACACACCAATAAAGGTCTTCCAGGCACGTGGGTCCTCACTCTGTCGCCAACCGTAGGGCCAGCCCAGCACCACGGTGTTATGCCTCATGCCACCCAGGCCACAAGACTGGATGAGGTGGGCCAGCCCCTCACGCACCTTGCTGGCCACCACTACCTGACAGAAGCCTTTCACTTTCTCAATCTCCATCATGTTCTTGATTGTCTGTGGGGAACACAGTAGTGTCAGGAAGTCAGGCCACCAGTGTCCCTCTTCTGGGCAACCTTCTAGGGCTCTCGGGCACATAACTTCTTGGAAGTGGAAGAGGGCTTGGAACAAGTTACCCACCCAGAGGCAATGTTTTCAAGATGGGACAACTATATTCTCTTGTTCCAGCTTGAAGGGGCAGCAGTGTTGTCTACCTGGCTGGCCAGGCTTGGTCCCCTCCTCTACAAGCCAGTGCAGCCCAGATACCATTGGTCTGACTCCATTCTTCCCCACCCTCTGCAGGCACCTGCTCAGCAGCCTGGGCCTCGCCATAGCTCTCCAAGAAGCTGCCCTGGATGACGGAGCCAACAATCGTCAGGCCCTTGCCAGCCTTAAGCTGAGAGGCAAAGGTGAGGAGTCGTGGGTACTTCACATGAAGGTCTTCATCCAGCTTTAACAGCACCAGGAGCTGAGGCCTGCAGTGGCCAGATGGGGAGGCAGCTTGAGACCACGATCAGGCCTTTTCAGGGCACCCCTTCTTTTCTTCCCTTCTCAGAACATGGGCTCTCATATTTTGGATAGTGTAGATCCAAGGGTACAGTAAGCAGGAGGGCATCCTTAGCAACCCAAGGAGGGGGAAACTGGACTAGGGATGGGGATCCAGCACATCTGGAGGCTCCTACCCTCCCAGCACTCCCTAAGAACCTTGAGATGGCCCGTGCTAGACTGGGTGTGAACTCACCGCCAGTTCTTGGTATGAGGAGGTCCCTCTTCCAGCCTCAACAGCGCATAGCGGGCAGCACTCAGGGATAGGCCTCTGATCCCATCACCCCATTCCTTCTCAGCCCTGCAGATGCCACAAGCTTGTGAGCTCCAGGTGCCACCCAGGGAATTTTATTTTTTGGTGGTGCTGGTACTGGGAATTGAACCTAGGACATCACACTTGCTAAGCAAGTACTCTACCACTGAGCTATACCTCCCAGCTAAATCCCAGCCCTTCACCAGGGATTTCTGACTATATGAATGCAGGAATGGAAAGAGGTTAGGCCCTGAGTCAGAGCCTTCCAGTCCTATCACTCATGGTAGATACCAAAAGTGGCCCTGCTCCCTCAACAACTCACCATTTAGACCATCCCACTTCTTAGTCAGGAACCCCCAGCCATATAGGTTATTGACAATCCCTTCACTCACCCTTGGTACTCGATGTACTTGTAGATCATGCCTGCGATGAGCATGGCAACCAGAGCATAGTACCAGGAGGAAACAAACATAAGGGCCAGGCAGAGGCTCATGCCCAGGAAGGACAGCGCCCTAAGACAGAGTGAGGAGAGCGGTAGAATCAAGGCAAGACTGGTAGGGTCCTAGGCCATAACCCATTCCATGCCCTGGTAGCCCTGTGAAGTCCCAAGTCACAATCTGGGTATAATTTCCTTCCCCATAGTGTTTCAAGAGTAACCACTGCCCAGCAAACTCAAAACTTCATTCAGAATGGCATTCTTAGACTCCCTGTCATTCTTACCTCCTATGTCAGGGAACTTGATTCAAGGGTCTAGCTTACCAATGATAGTATTTGAACCGGGGCCGCCAGTTGGGGGTCCTCAGGAGTGTCTGTACAGCACAGGCCAGGTTCACAAATAGGTAACACATCAGAAAGAACCTGCAGCACAGGGAGTTGGTCGGTACAGAGTAACCTCCTTAGTATCTCCGGGTACCTCATGTCAGGCTGAGCCTGGACCTTCTAGGCCATGTCTTTCCCTTCATTGCATGGACACAGTCAGGTCCTCCCACCCCCACAGCACCCACTCCTGCAGCCTCAGGAAGATGGGACTATGCGGAGAAGGTGTCCTTGGAGCCATGTTGTGTCAGGAGACACATGCAGCTGGCCTTGCCCATGTCCATGTTATAGATTTCCTAAATAACAAAAAGAGGCATTTTGTTTGCTTGTTTGAGAAGCTGTACCTGTTAAAACCATGAAGAGGATGAGGGAGCCCATATCCTTACAGCCAGCCTTACCCATGTCAGAAGAGAATGGACCAGTGATCCCTGACAGAAGGCTAGAAGGGGATGAGGGCCCCAGGATATCAAGTAGAGAGCTGGGATAGGATGGTGTCAAGGAATGCTGAGGAATGCTCAGTGTCTGAAGATTGGCTGGCTGATACTGGCCTGGATGACCAGTGGATAAGAAGCTGTCACACGTGGGAAAGACGAACAGATTCAAGAGTAGATGACATATGAATGCACTGGATTAGACACCTGAGAGAAGCTGCTGTGGGAGTAGGAATCTGGGACATGGGTAAGGCTGATTGTATGAGCCCTCCCAGGTAGGCAGCCAAAAAGATGGCTAAGGGGAGGGGGCACCAACTTCTACACTCAGCTGATAGAGAGTAATGGTAGATTGGAGGCAGGAAGACTCCTGAGTGGGGTGCTAGGGGTAGGGGATTCCATGAGAGGTAAGTCCCATCAGGATCTGCCATTAAGTACAACATAATAAAAGGCTGAGCAGTGTCCTTTGGCTTTGTACCTAGAACCGTTTGAGGTGTGAGGGATGGGTTGAGTTGGAGGCAGAGGACAGCCCAGGTACAGCAGGCCTGGCTGCAGCCAGGGTGGAGGCTATTTGCAGGGAAGGAAGCCCTGTCAAGTCTACAGGCTGAGGAGTGAAGGAGGTCAGGCCCTTCAAAAGAACAAAGCCCATCAGCCATGGAGCAGAGTGTGTGATGACTCCAACATGGGCAGAGGTGAAAATAGCAATTGAAGAAACTCTGCCTCAAGAATTACTAGAAATCTCCACGTGTAGATCACCAACTGCACAGCACTGGCACAAATGCACATTCATTTGGGTTAGGACTAAAATTGTAACAAAAAGCATTTGTCCAGGTGCTTCCAGAATATTAAAAGCAAACGACTTTGAGCTAGGTACAGTGCTGCATGCCTGTAATTCCAGCTACTCAGGAGGCTTAGGCAAGGAGGATCATAAGTTTGAGACCAGCCTAAGCAACTTTGTGAGACCCTGTCTCAAAATAAAATGTGTATATATATATAAAATCTATCTCACTGGAGATGTGGCTCAGTAGTAGAGCAGCCTAGGGTTTAATCCCTAGTACTGCAAAAAAATCCAGAGCAAACAACTTTGAAAATGATGAATGGTGAAGTGATGGCTTCATCAAGCCTCAAAGGACCAGGTGCTTCTCTGTCCAGCAGTGGGAGAATCTGTTGGATTCCTGTTCTGGAAGGTCCCCACAGTAGTGCGAGGGGCCTGTTGGTCTCTTTACAGCTCCTTTGCAGGTGCCATGCTATCTCCAGAATGCAGGGGTAGGTTGAGATCTGCCAAGCAACATCTCCCCACACAGCCTGGCACACAGTTGCACCCTCAACACCAGAAAGGATCATGGGGAGGTGCTGGGGTCCCCTGCTAAAAGTTACTGGGATTCAGGAAGCTTTTACCAAGACCATTACTCTGCCCTGCCCCCAGCTCACATGGATAGAATGGGGGCCACCATGTCGAGGGAGGCAATGAGGATGCCCAGCTCAGCAATGAGTGCAGTCAGGAGGAGTGCCCACGTCGGTTCACCATTTGCTTTCCCATGGCCGAACACCTGTAGGCACCAGAAAAGGAGTTGTTCCTGCCACCCTCTCCTACACTTGGGACCCCAAGCCACAGCCTGGCCTCCATTATCCCCAGGCCCTTTCTCTGGGGCTCAGGCCATCCCCATGGGAGGTCACAACTTTCTCCTGACTCCATCACTCCAGGCCTCCCTTCTTTGGATGAGCCATAGTTCATGAGGATTCTGGGTCTTAGAAGCTCTGCCAACAGTACACAGGGCCAGGGCAGCTCTCAGCAGCTCCTTATGGATGGCCACCTGGCCTTGGTGCCCCTGTGGGCAGACAATGCTGCATCCAAATTCCCTCTTTCCCTAGCCAGTGCTATGTCCAGAACCATGTGAGGGTGATATAGAAGGGCTCACCCGGAGGAAGGGGATGATGTTGTCCTTGGCAATGGCCTGCAATAGACGAGGTGCCCCAGTAAGGCTCTGGAGGCCAGCACCACATGTTGAGAAGAAAGAGCCAACAACGATGACCCAGGGCGAAGGCCAGGCCAATGTGCCCACCACCAGGTTCCTGCTGACACCGTCGCCATACCTGCAGGGGCCAGGCTCAGACCATGTTCTAGGCAAGGAGTCCCCCAAGTCCTGGGTGGGGCCACCCAGAGTGAGGGATAGCAGGGGCTAAATGGGACAGAGCTCTACCTTCAGTGGAAAAGGCCAAATGCCAGCCCCTACCCTTGACCCTCATCTCAGCCCTGACCCTGATGTTGCCATCCTCTTAAAACCAACTCTTGGAGGGGCCTGATCCACCTGATGGCACAGACTACCCTTGGCAGCCAGCAGCCTGAGGAAATGTCTGCGACCATGTGCAGGGTCTAGCATGAGGGGAGGCAAAGGCTGAGCTATTGCTACAGGGAGGGGCACAGCTCACTCACTTGTCTCGGAGCACTACACCCTCAATGCAGGCGCCGAAGAGAACCACACTGCTGAAGTCTACACAGAGTCAAGGAAGCTAGGCCTCCACTGCACTGTAACCAGACTCATCCCCACACAGGACCCTAGCGGCTCTTGCCCCAGCCACAGCCTGCAGATAGCTGAGGGTACTGTGGTATGTGCATGTGTCCCCCCGGTGTGTGCCTGTGTACGAGGCGGTGAGGGATGCGTGTATAGTGTGTCTATACATGCCAACTGGTGATGTACATGTAGGCAAGTGCCTCCTGGTCCCCTCTCCCGTTTCAGGCCTGGGAAAGGATACACACAAGCGAGGTTGTAATGATGGCCAGAATGGTTCCCACCGGGATGGATTTCTGGGCATCACGGAGGTCCCCGGAGCGGTTTGAGCCAGCCATGATGCCTCCAAAAACAGATGAGACTCCCTCAGGGGCTCCCCAGGTTGGACTGGTGGCAGGGATGGGTGGGTGGGCAAAAGGGGCTCACCTGTTACAGAGGGGAAGAAGATGCCAACCAGCACAGTGAAGGATGTGGCGATATCAGCTACCACATACAGGGGCAGGCTCTCCTTCAGGCCAAGGGCGTCTGTGGAGGGCAGACCTCGCTTCTCCACGAACTCGCCCTTCTCCAGGTAGGCACTCCACAAGTTCTCTGCGGAAGCAGCAGCATCACCAACACAGCCCCATGGACCTCCCCAGGGTAGTCTGGGGCAGATCAGCCAGAAGCTGGGGACTTTGGGTACAGCTTCAGCCTGATGGCTACAGCGTCTACCACAGGGCTTCTCTGGTTGCAGGGAGGAAGCTATCCAAGCTACAAGTCTGATAGACAAAGGTGGCTGAAACCATTATCAACGAGCCCCACCACCGCCTGCATTCCCGACAAAAGCCCTTTATGGCCCCTGTGGGAACATCCCCAGGTGGCATTAGGGGCTGATGGCCAGAGGAAGAGGGGCTGCCAGAACTTTCCAGGGGCTTCTGCAGGGCTGGGATGCTGGCCAATCTCCATTCACCCGAAACTCAGCTGCCAAGAGCCAGGCTGAGAGGACACTGCTGAGCTGGGAAGGCAGCCAGACCTGCTCCCCCATTCCCGAGCTGGCCACACAAGGACGGCTCTGTGCTCTGCTCTCCTGCTCAGCCTGTGGGCTCAGGGACAGGATCATGGGAGGGAGGACCCACCCTGGAGCACACCAGCAGCTGCCCCGGGAATGCCAGGGATCTCCGTCACATTGTTGAGCAGGAAGTAGGGGTCACAGGAGTCAGTGGTAAGGTTGGGGCTGTGGCAGAAGAAACTCCACAGCCGGGTGGCCACTGTCTCATTGTCCAACACAACCGTCTTGGCGCAGACATCAAACTGGTCCCGGGACAGGGTCCTGTTACCCAGCATGCACACTCTGCAGGGATGGAAGCATCACCACCTGCTGAGCTAGAGGACCCAGTCCATTCCCACCCTACAGTCTTGGGGACCCAGGGCATCAAAGGCAGTCTACTTGGAAGGGATGACAAGGTAATGTCTGGACAAAAGCCTGAGTTACTTACGGAAACACGGGAGGGTCAAAAATGGACTTGATGCCCCCAGCATAGATAGAGAAGATGGAGATAATCACACAGGCCAGGAAGAGTGAGGCAAATTTGTTCACATACTTGACACCAACAAATACCACCAGTGTCATAAAAGTCAGAAAAATGGTCCCATATACTCGCATATTATTCAAGGTGGCGCTTGACGTGTCATGAGAGCCTGATGGGTAAAAAATGGCGGCTGGTGGAGCAATGTAGGTCTGAAACAAGAAGATGGATTACAGAGGGTTCAACCTTCCTATTTGGAGTGTGAAACCTATCATTTTGGTTTTCTTTTAAAAGTATATCTAAAAGAAGCCAGTCTCAAAGGACCACATACTATATGATTCCAATTATACAAAATGTCCAGAAAAGGCAAATCTAGAGGTAGAAAACAAATTAGTGGTTGCCGAGAGATGACGGTTGGGGGAGAATGGAGAATGATGACTGATGGGGTTTCTTTTGGGGTGATAAAATGTTCTAAAATTGTGGTGATGGTTGCATCCCTGTGAATATACTAAAGACCAATGCACTGTACACTTTTACTGGGTAGTGCATTGAATGTTATGTGAATTACATCTCAATAAAGTCATTATTTTTTTAGAAAGGAAAGGATCCAGACATAGACACCAACCTGAAGTGGAAGAGCCTAAGTAGAATGTTTGAACAACAAAATAAATAGTGGTAGTATTGAATTATAACCAAAAACCCAGGGAACAAAATAAATATCCAAAAGTCCATATAATTACATGGTTGAATAAACAAACAAACTGGGGAAAAGGGACACATTTCCTTACAGAAGAATTCCAAATTATAAATGTAGAAGAAATATGAGAAATGGAAAACAAAAAACAGATGAGCTAGGCACAAGATTCACACTATGAGCAGAGGACTGGAAGGTGGGAATAGTAAAGTCAGTCTCTCTAAATATCTTCTACTGTTTCATCCCCAGAGAAAGTACCTGCCACTCTGCTGCCCACATACCCTGTACATTTCTGCTTCCTCAGTGGAGAGTGGGAAGCTGAATTGGGCACAGCACCCTAGATTACTTTCTGCAATCTCCAGAAGGCATCCTGTGGTAGCTCACTCTGACTTAGGGATAAGGAGAAGCTGAATCTGAAGGGCGCTGGCATAGAGCTCTAGGAGACTGAACTGGCCAGAGCCATCCAAGCTCAGGAAGTAGTTAGTCTCTATGTCACCACCCAAGATCTGTCATTCAACTAAATGCAAGAGTTGGTTGGTTGCTTGCCATGGCTGAAACAGTACCCAGATAGGTGACATATCCAGGCTAAAGTGAAGACAGCCAGGCCAATTTCTTGCCTGGCCCAGACTAGCATGAAAGTAAAGGGGGAAACAGGCCTGAGCAGAGATCCTTCTCTTTTGATGCCTCCCGTGGTATGACCCCAGGCCCTGGCCAGGGATAGCAGGGGAGCACAAACAGCCTGGGCCTTCTGTGTGGAATCCAAGGGAAGTGTTTAGACATGTGTGTCATGAAAGCCTGATGGGTAAAAAATGGCAGCTAGTGGAGCAATGTAGGTCTGGAACAAGAAGTTGGATTACAGAGGGTTTAGCTTGACTCACCAGCAAGATCTCAATGGCCCCCAGGATATACATTGCTGCCGCAAATGTTGTTCCCAGATAGAAGCACAGGCCCACAGCACCTCCAAATTCTGGACCCAGTGAGCGGGAGATCATGAAATAGGAGCCTCCAGCTACAATAGAGAAAGTATGCACAGGTCAAGGTCAGTGCTTTTCAAGGGGTCTCCCTCATGATAAGCCCTCACAACCACTCAAAAGGACAGGACTGCTTTCCCCATTCATAGATTAGGGTAGGATTATAGTCTTTTCGGGTTTTTTGCCCCTGTGTCCCTGCATAAGCCAGCTACCATGTGAGCGTCCATGGTTAAACCTCTGGCCCTAGTCTGTGCTTCTCACAGTCTAACACCCTTGGCAAGACTGAGAGAGTCAACACTAGGCCCCAGGGTGATGAAGGTGAAGAGACAAGTGTGATTCCATGTTGCTGAGTACATCTGCTGCTGATATAACCTCTCTGATGAAGGCCTGGGAACAGGAATCAAGAAACTTGAAAAACAGTCAATCCCTTTCATACTGTAATCCCACCCCTAGGATTTTGCTAAGGGAACCTTCAGGGATATGAACAAAGATTAGTGTTCAAGGCTGTTCACAAAAATAATATTTATAACAGTGAAAAAGTAGAATACCCAGGTAGGAGAATAATCACATAAATTGGGTTATATCCTACTATAGTGAATTATACTCTGTTGAAAAAACAAAACCCACTTTCCAACATATATATGTATGTGTATATATCTATATATACAGCAAAAAGAAATTATATATACATTTATATGTACATATGTGTGTGTGTATGTGTGTGTGTGTGTGTGTATGAGGGGGGAAGAGGGAGAGAGAGAGAAAGAGAGAGAGAGAGAGAGCGATATTTTATAAGACCCTAAGATCATATGCTGAAAGCCTAATAGTAATGAACTCAGCATGGTGGGGTTATGAATGCTTTCAGTTTTTCATTCTGTTTTCCTGCCCTTTCAAACCTTCCTATGACAAATGAACATTGCCCATTTGGGGGAAGGTTGTATTATTTTTATACTAACAAAACATGACAGCAGTCTCAAACTCTGTTAGGCTCCTAAGTGAAAGTCAGGGACTGGGATCCCACTGGGGAACTGTTTAAGGGTGGAGGAGAATGGGGGTTCCCAGACAAATCAAAGCAGATTCTGGGCCCCATTCCCTTACCTACCTGGAACCACACCGTTGGTGGCGATGGCACTCATGGAGATAGCTGTCAGCAGTGTCTGTGGAAAGGAGGGCCTGGATGAGCCCTGGATGAGCTCAGATGGGTGGGATCTGTAGGGTGACCATGGCCCCTGCTCAGTCTATCCGTGACCCACCAGGCTACTTACACAGCAGCAGCAGATGAGGACAATAAGGAGGGCCTGTAGCACCCCGGCTGTGCCCACCATCCAGGTCAGCCGCAGGAAGAGGATGACCCCAAAGATATTCTGCAGGCAGGGCAGGTACACCCCCATGAGTGTGCCCATGCTGGGTGCCTATATGGGCAGGAGAAGAGGTGGCACAGAGCATCAGAGGGGCACAGATGCACTACGGAAGGTAGTTCCCTAGTCATTTAGTCATCCCTTACCTGTAGTGGGGTACCCACATGCTCCAGTGTATAACACCAGCCTACCCACAGCCCCAGAAGTCGGGGTATAGCTAGAATGTCTCTATTAACTTTCTTTTTTGGGTACTGAGGATTGAACCCAGCAGCACTTAACCACTGAGCTATGCTCACAGTTCCCCTTTTTTATACATTTTTTTTTTTTTAGTTGTAGATGGACACAATACCTTTATTTTGTTTATTTAGTTTTTTTATGTGGTGCTGGGGATCGAACCCAGTGCCTCACACATGCTAGGCAAGTGCTCTACCACTGAGCCACAATCCCAACCCAAAACCTTTATTTTATTTATTTTTATGTGGTGCTAAGGATTAAACCCAATGACTCACATGTGCTAGGCAAGAGCTCTACCACTGAGTTATAACCCTAGCCCTCCCAGTTCCTTTTTATTTTTTTTAAATATTTATTTTTTAGTTGTATTTGGACACAATACCTTTATTTTATTTATTTATTTTTATATGGTACTGAGGATCGAACCCAGGGCCTCACACATGCTAGGCAAGCGCTCTACTGCTGAGGCACAACCCCAGCCCCCTTTTTTATTTTTTGAGACAGAGTCTCCCTAAGTTGCTTAGGACCTCTCTAAGTTTCTGAGGCTGGCCTCAGACTTGTCATCCTCCTGCTTCAGGCTCCCAAATTGCTGGGATTACCATGACCATCTCTATTAACTCTACACAGCAAGACAGTTGGGATTGAGAAGGTTATGAAACCTGATTCTTTCTAAAACCCCACAAGTGAGCTTTTGAACTTAAATTCTCCTCAAGGTACTGCCTCCTCCCCTTCCTCTCCTCTGCTAAATGTCTGCGAAAAGGGGTCTATCTCAGGTCCTCACGTTCTCTCTGAACAGGCCCCAAATCACCTAAGCCAAAATCCAAGAAATTTTCCCTCTTGTTCCCTCTTTCCAATCCCCCCACTTTAACCAGATGGACATGGAGTCCTGCCCATTCTACCTCCCTGCTATCCAGAGACTAGGCTTCCTTGTCTCAGCCTTAGTCCCCCTAGGGCAGTAAACTGGGGCACTAGGTGATATCCTCCCACACTTGCCCACCTCTCCACACTCTAGCCCACTCTGCAGCCAGAGTAGGTCTCTGATAACAAAGTACAATCCCCTCATCCCTGTTGAAAACCCTGTTTTGTTCTATAATACAGTGTGTGGCGTGTGGTGCAGATTCCTTGGCTTGAGCTGACAGATGTACCCCATCACCTCCTCTGTCATTCCCAGTTCCATACCACATGGCTTCTTCTGAGCCTTGGAACCTGGGCATGTGCTAGGCTCTGCCAGGGAGGATGGCCTTGCCTCACTGCCTAGAAAACTCTTTCTTCAGTGAAACCATCAGAAGTTTAACTGTCACTTCTTCCAGAAAGCTCCCCCTAGGCTGGGTGGAGTTGGTGCTCCTCCTGCAATCTTTCAGCATCTGACATACCTTTCTATGATAATGGTCACTACAGGTCACATTACTGTGTTAGTATGACTCATTATCATACTGTGGCAGACTTGACTTGTTTACTGTTCTCTCACCAGCAGACCCTACAGATCCCCCAAAGGTGCTCCTAAACCCAGTGAATGACAGCTTAGAAGTCCCTGGACATCCTGTTGGGAAAATCTTGCAGAGCGGATGGAGGGGTCAGGAGAGAGCTACATGCCAGAAGAAGCATTCTGAAGGGTTCTGGCTTGGGGCAGGGTCTGTGTGCAGGCTAAAGGAACTTGGGAGGGTCTAGGAAAGAACAAAAGCTTCCTTCTGAAAGATACACCTCATCTAGGCTCTGTCCAAGCCCTTCTCAAAGGATACCACCCATTTTGGAATAATGGCAGCAAGAACTCTGAGTCCCACCCCCATCCTAGGCTGAGTCATTCTGAGAAAAGAGCAGTGTGGGAAAGGGCAGGACCGGAAATGCTTTCTGCATCCCCAAATAACCTCTGGCAGCCTCAGAAGGTCACTGGGCCAGAGCCAAAGTGACTGCCAGGGAGAGGCTGCCTTTGGGTCTTGGCATGGTCTGGTTGGAGGCCCACCCTTCCTGCTTCAAACCTTCTTTTCTGAGGCCCCTGCTCAGAGCTGCTCTGGGTGAGGTCCACAGCTCCCTAGCTTCCTACTATGTACTTGACTAGATTCCTCCTTCCTCCATGGTCCCAGCTACTAAGGCTGGGGAGCCTGTGAGGATACTAGGGTCTAGCCTCAGCTTCCCTCTCATATCTTCACCTTAAGGTCAGATGGGTAACTGAGCTGAGGCTAGACCCTAGTATCCTCACAGGCTCCCCATTAGGCCAAAGGACCACAGCCCTTCACCAATTCATGCTTCCCTCCCATGCTTCTGTTGAGATGTGCACTAGCCTTTCCTGGGGGCCTTTTTACTCTCATTCCTGACTCATCCTCAATGGACAGGGATGAGACTCTTATCCAATGATCCTGTCACCCACTGTGGGCAACACTCTCAGAAGTTAAGACTCCTCCTGCAAGGCTGCATAGGGGTTGCCAGAGATAGAGTTCTCTGCTATCTTTATTCCAGAATATACCAGCAAAATCTCAACCAGCTGAAGAGGTGGAGGTTAGTTCTGTACAATCAAGATATCAGCTGCCCTCTTGAAAGGGTGGGCTTGTTTGTCTCCTGGAAGCGCCAGGTGAAGGATGTGTTTTAGCTTGGTGCATCCTCTCTCCTGGACCCACCCCAGCAAGGCCCAAATCTCAGGAGCAAGTCTGAGCCTGGTGATCTGGCTTATCCCAGTCTGGAGTTCCTTTTGTTTCAACTGACCTCCAAAGAGAACAGTATAGCCAGGACTAGACCCCAGCTCCTTCCAAATGCAGCTACTTCCCAAACCTCAGAGAGACAGGAGGTGGAAAGGGAGGACCCCTTACTTTTTTGGGGGGACAGGTACCGGGGATTGAACTCTGGGGCATTTGACCACTGAGTCACATCCCTAGCCCTATTTTTGTGTTTTATTTAGAGACGGGGTCAACACTGAGTTGTTTAGCGCCTTGCTTTTTGCTGAGGCTGGCTTTGAACTTGCTATCCTCCAGTCAACCTCCTGAGCTGTTTGGATTACAGGCATGCGCCACTGCACCCGGCAGGACCCCTTACTTTCAAACAAAAACGTTGAAAAAATCCCCAGCCCTCAGTTAAACTGAGGCCCATCAAATACAGGTGCTGAGCAAGATAGAAAAATCATCCTAAATAGAGAGGAGGGCTGAAGGAATAGATGTGCTTTACAAGGAAGTGTCAGGCTCCATCACATGTTCATGCCTGCACAACCTGGTACTTAAGCAACCCAGGGGCTGTGGGAGCCTTGGTTAGGGGCAAGAGAGTCATGTCACTTGCTTTAGGCTGTGTAGCCCCCAGGCTATCCATCCTGATTTGATGCCAGTGATCTGGTATTTCACAATCACATACCTCACAGTACATCCACAAACACTTCTCCCAGCATCATGCATTAACCTTGGGCAAGTTACCTAAGGCCTTGTCACTCAGTTTCCTCATCTGAGAAATGAAGATGAAAGTGGGAGAGAAGCCAGGCTTAGGGAGTCAGGAGGCTGGCCCAAGGGACTAGATAGGCAATGGGCAGGACTCAGAGGAGCTAAAAAAAGAATGAATGACTTATCTCATAGGTTTTTTGTTTGTTTTTTTTCCCAGTGGTGGGGATTGAACCCAGTACCTCATGCATGCTAGGCAAGTGCTCTATCACTGAGCCACATCTCAAATCCACCCATACTCTCTTCCTTCTTTCCTTTCTTCCTTCCTCCCTTCCTCTCTCTCTCTCTCCCTACCTTCCTTCCTTTCTTTTCCACACAGGGTCTTGCTACTTCCTGCCTCAGCCTCCCATGTAGCTGGGACTACAGGCTACAGGTTTCCATCTCATGATTGTGTTGTGAGTATAACATTTGAGAAGATGGGGTCACTCTTAGAGGCTGAGTGCAAGGAGCTCTTGTTCCCACTGTCATTTCTTTCTGTCTTTCTTGAAGTGCTGATGAAACTCTACCAGAGCTAAACCTACACCTCCAGTCCACCCACTGTCGTTTCCTTCTTTTAAAATTTTTGTTTGTTTGTTTGTTTCTGGGGATTGAATCCAGAAGTGCTTAACCACTGAGCCCACTGAGCCACATCCCCAGTCCTTTTCTTATTTTTAGATAGGGTCTCACAAAGTTGCTTAGAGCCTCTCTAAGTTGCTGAGACTAGCCTTGAACTTTTGATCCTTCTGCCTCAGCCTCCCTAGTCACTGGGATTACAGGCCTGCACCACTATGCCCAGCTTCACCCACTGTCATTTCTGAGGGCCTCCCTCAGTAGTTCCTCCTTAGCCCACCCCTTAAAGCCCCTATGAGCCCAAGACATTCAGTGCCCACTCTCATGCTTACCTCACCTGGCATCCACATGCCCTGGCGTGCGCACACCACATGGGAAAACAGTATATTCCATGGTGTTCTGTCTGTCATCTTAAGTGTGGCCCTTCTGATGACCCTGACTGGCTCACCTTGGCTGCTCTCCGACGGGAGCCTTCTCCACTCTCAGCCTCCTCATGTTCCTTGGCGCCCTGGGTGAGGTTGGTATAGCTGACAAGCTTGCCCAGAAGAGATGACACCTTTGGGCGGATGTCCAGTTCCTCCTGTAAACAAAGCCACGGGGCAATATGGCAATGGGCCAGGACAGCGCCAGGCTACCTATATGTAGCCAGCAGCCTGGACTCTGGCTCCATGCCAGGCCCTGAGGCAGGCCTGGGCCTGATCCCAGCTCTTGCTGGGGGAAGCCCAAGCCAGCCAACTGAGCAGGTGTGGGCACCACACCCCAGCACGTGGCACTGAAAGGCCCAGCCCAGTGGTGGCTTCTCTCTGCCCCACCTTGGCTGCAATCACTGCCAGCCCATTTGTGAAAACCACCCGCCTCAGGGGAGAAAAAGAAGGGCAGGCACAGTTGGCAGACAGGCAAATTGCACACTTCATCCTATCTGCTCTGTTTGGCCACCTACTGGCGATGGCTGAGCCTCTGGGATTCATATCTACCCTGGACTGCCCACAAAAAAAGCCACCTTAGTCACCTCAGGGACCAAGGCAGACAAAAGATGTCTGGAACAACTGAAGTCTCTGTTGTCTGACCTTCCTAAATGGTCTAACCCCAGGCTTTGGTTCCTGTGACTGACATACCTCAATCCCAAAGTGGGATGCTGGGCCATCATCCTCAAAGTGAAGCCAGGACAAAGGTTTTACTGCAGAACCTTGTTGCTCTTGGTCAGGAGGTACCCTGGGCTCAGGACCCCCAACTCCCACGGGGGTCTAGGCTTTCCCTGCCCTTGATTCATTCTTAGTGCCATCTCTCCACTGGTTTCTTATCCACATTTAGCCTTTCACTATCTGACAGCTCTTTTCTGACCCTACACACAGGGAGGTTGGTTGGGAGCAAAGAATAAATATACAGGCCTTTGGACATGTGGAGATTGAGAAGCCTACACTATTCAGCAGCTGAATATGTGGGTCAAAGTTTAGGTGCCTAGGGTCTGGGGTTGTGGCTCAGAGGTAGAGTGCTCGCCTAGCATGCATGAGGCACTGGGTTCAATCCTCAGCACCACATAAAAATAAAATAAAGATATTGTGTCCACCTATGACTAAAAAATAAATTATAAAAAAAAAGTTTAGGAGCCTAAACCATGTCTTAAATCCATATCTTACTTTTCAGCTTGAGTATGGAAAGGCTAAAATATAAGTTCAGGCACAAATTTGGGAAACTTTCAAAGAGGTATCAACTGAGCTTGCAGATGTGGAGGGCAAGAGCAGGTTCAGGGAGAAGGACCAGGGACAGAGTTGGAAGAACCAACCAGGAAAGACACAGAGTCTATGAGAGAGCCCACAGGCGGAGAACTGGGAGTGCAGGGAAAAAAGAAATTCTCAGGGGGTGGTCACCTTGCTGAGGGGGCAGCAAGGAAGGCAAAGGTTAACAGCCCAGGAGATGGCAATGGGGGTCAGAATTGCAAATGGCCTCTGGGAAAGCAGTTTCAGTTTGAAGGGCCACAGGAACCACTATCTGACTACAGGGAGCAAGACAAGGGGAGAGCAGAAGAAGAGTCACCATCCAGCCTGCATGCTTAGATGAGAGGCCCCTGACAGGCCTCGGTCTGTCTCCCAGCCTGCCACATTTGTGGCCCAAAATGGCTCCTCAACTACCTCAAACAGTGCCAGGTTTCTGTCATAGTAGTCACTTCCTCTGGAAGCCTCCAAGGGGCAAAGAAAAGGGCTGCTCTCTCTGTGATTACTCTGTCCTGTGGAGAGAAAGGGAAAGAAACCCAGTTAGGGCTGCCTCCTGAGCATGCAGCCTGTACCCCTCCTCAGAGGCCAGTGCCCAAAACATCCTTTCTGTAAACCACTTTGGAGGCCACAGTGTTAAGAGGCTGAGCATCAGCTTCTCCATCACACCTAATGGCCTCCTTGAAGAGTCAGGGTAACCCAAGAGCAGCCAGTAATCAAAACCCAGCCCATCATTCCCTGTAACACAGGGTACAGGTATGAAAACCCCAGTGTAAGGCGAGGGGTGGGGGCCTGTTGAGGGGGCAGGCCCTGGCCTCAGCCAGCCCTCGCATAACCCCTAACCCCTTTTCAGGCCTATCTGGAGCACCCAGAGTGCCCCATGCCAAGGGCTCGGTGTTGTCAGGCATCACCGGGGTACTGCTCTCCAGATAGATGAAAGCCACACAGAGCGCCTTCTGCTGCCATGGCCAGCAGGTGGCCTGCTAGCTACCCCACCATGACCCGCACCTGAGGGGGCACCCTGGAGGGTGGCCCAAGGCATGCCGGGAGGCGGGGGCAAGCCCTAGCTGTACAGTAAGCAGAAGTGGGAGCCAGTTGTCCAGGTCATCTGCGAAAGATAAGGCTGGTGGGTGAATGTTAGATTGTATAGTCTGGAAATACAGGAGTGTAGCTGGGCGTGGTGACACACACGGCTAAGGATGGAGGATTCAATGCCAGCCTTAATGTCTCAAAAAGGGGGATGACATTCCCAGCTTTCCAACAAACAGGTAGAGCACCTCTAGGTTAAATCCCTAGTACCAATAAACAAACAAACAAACAAATGGCTGGGGATGTAGTTCAGTGGTAGTGCACTCCTGGGTTCAATTCCCAGCACTGCAAACAGGAAAAAGAGGAAAGAAGGAAGATAGAAGCATGGACTGTTCATAGGGTCCCAGGGCATTAGCTCCTTGGTCTGCAGATTCCTCCTGCTTGCATCAAAACAGGTGAGAGGCCCACACCAGCTTCCACCCACCCCTCAGGTTGGTGAGACTGAGCCTCAGATCCAAGGAAACCTGGCAGAAAGCAACCAAAATGATTTTTTGGGGGTGGGGGGCACCAGGGATTGAATTTTGGGACACTCAACCACTAAGTCCACCTTCAGCCCTATTTTGTATTTTATTTAGAGACAGAGTCTCACTGAGTTGCTTAGCGCCTCACCATTGCTGAGGCTGGCTTTGAACCTGCGATCCTCCAGTCTCAGCTTCCCAAGCCGCTGGGATTACAGGAATGTGCCACCAGGGCCCCCCATTTTATTCTTCCCCCTTGGTAAGGCTATCTCACCTCCCAAAGCTTGCCTGCTTTTTCCTGGCATCCCATCATTCGTACTCTTCCCTGTTCTACATTTTGTCTCTTGTGAGCTTCATGGTGACAATCCCAGTTTTCCAACAAACAGGCAACAGACACTAAGTACTTCTTTTCTAGATGCCAAGTGTCCCTCCACCCCAATGAAGTCTGGTAGCTGCAGCACTGACTCAGGTCTCACAATAAATGGGCTGTAGACATTTAGGTTCAAAGAAGCCATCCATGGTGTTTGCTGGAAGCAGCATACAGTTTTGTTTTGTTTGGGTACTGGGGATTAAACCCAGGGGCACTCTACCACTGAGTTACATCCCCAGACCTTTTTATTTTTCATTTTTTTTTTTTAAAGAGAGAGCGAGAGAGATAGAGCGGTAGAGAGAGAGAGAATTTTTAATATTTATTTTTTAGTTTTTGGCAGACACAACATCTTTGTTTGTATGTGGTGCTGAGGATCGAACCCGGGCCGCACGCATGCCAGGCGAGCGCGCTACCGCTTGAGCCACATCCCTAGCCCTTATTTTTCATTTTTGAGACAAGATTTTGCTAAGGTGCCCAGGTTGCCTTCAAACTTGTGATCCTCCTGACTCAGCCTCCTGAGTAGCTGAGATACTGGCATGCACCACCATGCTCTGCAGAAGTATGCAGTTTTGATTTTAAGTGTGTTGGCACGGTGTCCCCAGATGGACGCAGTAATAGAAGTGTTATTACCAACCCAGACTAGTGGTGTGATTGGGTCATGCGCTGGCCATGACTGTCAATGTTTTAATTTAAATAGGTCACAATTCATTTCTCATTTGCAGCTGAGAACGTGGACTAATGCATCCTTCTCCATCTGAAACATCCTCTTGATATCAGTGTGTGGTTTAACTTGGCTTCCCCAAGCCTACAACCACTTAGCAGGGGCTGCATTATGGATTCTTTATCACTCAAGGAGACTGATAGGTAAAGTGTGCCTGTGACAATTTCTGGGGTAAAGTCAGTTCTGCCTTAGCATATGAAAGCAGTGTATTTCCTTCATCCAGCAATCCGGACTAGTTAAGTGGGCCAAACAGATCAGTCACATGTTCAATGATTGCATATAGGTCAATGTCAATGACACAGTAGACAAAGGCAGCCAGAAAGTCATCCCACCAAGGCATGTTAAAGCCCAGTGGGGTCATGTAGCTCCTCAGACACCCTCACACCCTATGACATTTGCTATAACTTTGATGCTTACACAGGATCAGGAGTCACAAGAAAAATCTAAAAACCCAGTAACACTGCCCTTTATATTAACAGCTGACCAGTGAGAATGCAATTTTGTCAGACCAGGATACAGGGTACTAGAGCCAGGTGAGGGCTTGGCTGTAGGTTCCCTATTCCTACTCCAGACCCCAGTCCATCCAGGATACACCCCAAGGTGTAGCATGATCCTTGAAGGTAAAGAAGAGGTCTAGAATATGCAATTTTGCCAGAGTTTGCACATCCTGTCCTCTGGGTGCTCAGATGGCCAGAAGTCTGCTTTGGATTCCTGGCCTCTCCCATGTGAAAATGATACTCTGTGCTGCCTTGTGTGTCCTATTCTATGTACAGATAGTAACACATGCTTTTCCAACTGCCCATAGGCATCAGAAAAGGGACTATCTGCTGCCAGACACCCAGTAAGCACTTGTTGGAGTTCCCCAAACCTTGCTTAGGGACAGCTCCAGTGGGATTGTGGAAACGTAAGAGGGTCTAAGCAGACACTGGATGTCTGTACTGCCCTCAGATTCAAACTGCCCATTCTGGCCTCAGCTATTCCAAAAATTCCAGGGCACGTCTGGGCATGCCTGCCAGGCCCAAGCTGCTCACATGCCACCTGAGACCCCTAGTATGGCCGGGATATGAGGCCTGCCTGTGAGGGACACAGGTGTGTTCCCACCAGCAACTGTATAGACACCAGTAACAGGTAAGGATCCAGGTGATCCTCCTGATCCCTGTGCACAAAGGCATCTGCCTGAGGTGCCCCTTCAGGACCTCCCGAGCCCCTGCCCACAGGCTGGTTGACCCCTCAGAGTAGAGGGCAGGCCTTCAGCTAGGGGTCCCAGGAGATGGACCTGAGTTTGACTGTTTTTCAGCCCTCTGAACTTTTGCAGTACCCACCAAGAAGGATCAAAATCACTCACCAGGGGGGCTGGGGTTGTGACTCAGTGGTAGAGCACTTGCCTAGCACGAGTGAGGCACTGGGTTCGATCCTCAGCACCCCATAAAAACAGAATAAAGGTATTGTGTCCACCTACAACTAAAAAATATATTTAAAAAAATCACTCACCAGGGTTCAGGGTGTCCCCCATACTGCAAACACAGTCAAGGTCTGGCTGAAAAGGAGCAAGAGGAGGAGGAAAAGGAAAGGACCTAGTGGGAGGAGCTGGTCTTGCTTGGAGGGATCTGGCTGGATGAGGCTAAGGCAGGCAGAAGCTAAGCCAGCTCTGCCTGCCCACTGAATCAGGGATGCAGCCTAGCCCAGCCTCCAGGGACAGAGGTCCTTCCAGGCTCAGGGGAGCAGGGATGCTGCCTCTTGCTCTGACTCTCTGAACAAGACTAGGGACAGACAAGGGAATGGCAAAGGGTACTCACACAGCTGTCAAGCCTGAAAAACCTTCACAATGTCCAACAGCCCATCCCTCTGTCCTGTGCCAACTCTACACATGGCAGTCAGGTAATACAAACGCACAGCCACTCGCATCAGCATGGATCAGCTCAGTCATATCACCATCAAAGACAGATCAGAGGTCAAGATCATATCACCTGACACATCTCAATGACATGAATTTCTTAAATGTCTCCATCATGATCAGTCCCAGACATTATAGGCATTTGTCATCAGTCATATCACCATCCTGCAGGATACACTGGCCATGAGAATGCCCTGACCTGACCCTGCCTTTAACTTGATACCCACAGCAGCACACTTGCACATGCATATGCCAGTACACAGTGCACAGACAGACAGACATAAGTTTCCAGCAGGACTCCAAAAGTGGCCGCTGGCAAGGACACCGTCTGACTGAGTGAAACCCTGAGCCTTCTGGGAGAGGAGATGGAGAAAGGAGCAAGGGAAGAGGCAGGAACCTGGAAGAAAGGAGACACTCACCTCCAGGACCAGCACTAACACCCAGGTTCAGAGTTAAGGTGCTAGAATCTCCCCTGGGGGTTTAAATACCCCCCCCAACAACCCCCCTCCCTGCAAATTTCATAACCTCCCCACACTTTCCGTCACTCCTTCCTAAGTGCAAGTAACAGCATCTGTCCCAAGGAAGGTAGGGAGGATTAAACGAGTCGGTTCACGTTAAGTGCCTAGACAAGCCTGGCCCCGTGTGAATGCTCCCCAGATGCCCACTGTACCTACAGATCTAGGCCTGGGCAACAGGGACGACTTACAGGCAGGTACCCAAAGGCCCCCTCAGCAGGCACACCCTTCTCTCGGGGAGGGCCTGAGAGTTTAGAGAGTAGGGAGACACAGGAAGGGGAGGGCAAGGGAAGGAGGGAATCACCAGGCAAAGGCGACAAGAGGATGGGGGTCGTTTACAGAGGTGAAGGGGCTGCAATTGGGGCTTTGGCTATACTCCCAAAGGAAAAGGTTGGAGACCCGGGCTCGGAGCTATCCGGGGCCGGGCGGCCTGCTGTCTGGCCTCCCCGGGCGGCCACGTCTGCAGCCCCCGCCCGCGGCTCGCAGGGGAGGAGCTGGGCTAGGGAGAGCGACCTGGCCCGCGCGCCCGGAGCAGAGGAAAATCGTGTTTGCACGCGCGGAGCGGGGAGTGGCGGCGGCGCAGAGAAAGAAAAGTTAAGCCGGCATCGACGTATGCGCGCCAAGTCCCACTACCGGCGGGAGCCGGCTCCTCGTGGCCGCCCCGCGACCCCGCCAAGGCCCCCGCCCGGCAAGCCCTCACCGTCCGACTCCTCCCGCTCGGCGCGCTCCCCGTAGTCCACCCAACTCAGACCCTCGAGGTTGTCATAGTCGCCGCGCCGCGGCCCGTCCACGGGCACCACAGTGAAGTGAGGCATGGCGCGCAATCAGTCTGCCGCACCCGCCCGGCCTGCCGCGCCCGCCGACCCCGCCGCCTGCCGGCTGTCCCCGCTGCTCCGGGCCGGTGCGCCCCGCCCGCTCACATTCCTCCCCGCTGCGCTCACTTCCTCCGCCCGCCCCCCGGGCCGCCCCTCGGAGGGCGGGGAGCAGGAGGGGCTCGTGCCGACTCCTCCCAGAGGGGAGCCTAGGTGGCGCGGGGACCCTGGTCAGGGAGTACTCCCCTGAGAGAAGGACCGATTCCTGTGTGGCTTTGGGTGAAAGGCTGCCCTCTCTGAGTCCCACCTACGTTACTCGTAAAATAGCGGAAAGGCGCTTTCACTCTTTGGGGTTTTCTGGGGGCTCGGTGAGATGGGGCGCCGGGTGCATTAGCTCTGAGCCCTGGATCTAGTGAGTGAACAGCATTTCTGTTACATAGAGAAGGGGATGGGTAGGCAGGACGGGTTCAAAACCTCAGGGACCAGCCCAAACCTGCACAGAGCCTCCAGACATCCCCTGATAACACACCCCATTAACATCATCAGTTTCCCGCTTTTCCGCTGTGCCCCTTCGCTATAGCCTCTCCTATTGGAACCTTCTGGGAATGAATCCTTGCCTGGAGGCTGCAACTTTCTCCGTAGGAAGGAGCACCACGCCCGGCCCCAGCCCCATTTGCCACTTTGGGACAGCACACTGGGTGATTAGTCTAGTTCTTTCATTTTCTTTTCTTTTCTTTTTTTTTTTTTTTTTTACTGTCTTACCTCCACAGGGTTCCTTCACCAGAGCCGTTTACTTCTTTGCTCCCCCCACACACTTTCTACTCCACTTCCTCAGATAACTTACCCAGTTGGCTTTCCTTTAGCATCTTTATCTTTCTGGACCCTCCTGTCCACTTGCACCCTTCCCCTTCTATCAGAAAAACCCAGAGCCCATCTTCTTGTCTATCTCCATTCTTCTCCCTTCTGTGTCCCTAAGAACATCTGTCAACCTCAGGCTCTGCGCCTTCTGATTGCCGCCGCCTCTCACTTTCCAGCTCTGGAGCAGAATCTGAGTCTCATTGCCTTGAAGGGCGACCTTGATCCTACGGCTACTGATCCCTCCTCATGGCCATCGCGAGTGGCGCCTTTCGACTTGACCTTCCGCCCCTTATACCATCCTCGGCTACCTTCTAACTGGACCCTTCCCCTGCTCACTCCTCTCCTGCGCTCTCAGGAGAGGGTGAAAGAGCTCCTTTTGCTGAGAAATCCCTAGCTTGGCTCTTAGCTGACAAAGCCCTGCTCTAACCATCCCGCTTACCTCTACAGAAGCCTCCTACCCCACACCTCGTCCTCCTCCTGCCGCGCATCAGCCCTTCAAAATCTCACCTGCTGACTCAAGGATCTTCTAGACATCACCCACTGTTCCCTCTGGGGGGAACTGCCTCCCTAGGCTCTGCTCCCACCCTCACAGGCCAAACTCCTCCTTACCTACCACCCAGCCCCAGCCCCATTTGCCACTTTGGGACAGCCGCAAGGCTTTTCAAATACTCCCTCCACCCACCTCCTACACGGATTGCATTCCCCTGGGGCACGTTCCCATCATGGTACCCACTCCAGAAATGTGTTGGTGAGATCCTCTTATTTATGTTAGTCGTGTCAACTAGACTATGGACTTCACAAGGACAGGACCCTGTCAGTCCCATCACCCTTGTATCCCCAGGACCTGGTCCCAACTTTTGTGGTGATCTACCACTGAGTTACATCTTTTTTGAGACAAGGTCTCACTAAATAGCCCAGGCTGGCTGGCCTCAAACATATAATCCTCTGCTTCAGCCTCCTGAGTAGCTGAGAGTAGCTGAGATTATAGATGTAAACCACAACCCTTGGTTCATATATATATATATATATATATACATATACAAACACACACAAATATATATATATATATATATATATATATATATATTTGTAGTTGACACAATACCCTTATTTATTTATTTATTTTATTTATTTATTTAATTTATTTATTTTAATAATTTTATCTTATTTATTTATATGTGGTACTGAGGATCAAAACCAGTGCCTCACACATGCTAAACAAGCGTGCTACCACGGTACTACAACCTCAGCCCCAATTTATTTATTTATTTTTTATGTTGTGCTGAGGATTGAACCCAGGGCCTTGCACGTGTTAGGCGAGGGCTCTATTGCTGAACCACAACCCCAGCCCCCCAACTCATATTTTTAAAGTTGTTGATGGACCTTTATTTTATTCATTTATTTTATATGTGGTATTGAGAATTGAACCCAGTGCCTCACATATCAGAGGCAAGTTCTCTACCACTGAGCTACAATCCCAGCCCGTAACTCATTTTTTGAGTAAAGAATGAATAGGTAGCTGATCCTTGTGGCCCACACCTGTAATCCCAGAGGTTCAGGAGGCTGAGTCAGGAGGACCACAGGTTCTAAGCCAGCCTCAGCAACCTAGCAGGACTATGCAAACTAGTAAGAACTGTCTCAAAATAAAAAATAAAAAGGGGGGGGGGGATGTGGCTCAGTGGTTAAGTGGGTTCAATCCCTGGCACAAATATATATATATATGAACGAATAGGTGCCCCATTGGTCCTCCCTAATGTTCTACAATGGTTTCCAATTTTGTCCCACACATCTGCAGCCTCAGAGTGGTCAGGTGCTGTGTGGAACAGACAGGTCACTATAGCCCAAACAATAACCTTAGAGGGAACTCTGGGGAACTTTGCAACTGGTAAACAACTTCATCCATATCATTGACTAACCAAGCAGCCTGTACCATCAGATTCCTCTCAGGAAAAATAACTTCACAGGCAAATTCTAAAGATATTTAAAGAGCTAGGCACAGTGGTACATGCCTGTAATCTATTAGGGAGACTGAGGCAGCAGGATCAAAATGTTGAGGCTGGCCTGGCCAATTTAGGAGGCTACTCAATTCCTTTGTGACATTCTCTGCTCAAAAAAAAAAAAAAAGGGCTGGGGATGTGGCTCAAGCGGTAGCACGCTCACCTGGCATTGTCAAACAAAGATGTTTTGTCCGCCAATGACTAAAAAATAAATATTAAAAAGTTCTCTCTCTCTCTCTCTCTCTTTAAAATTAAAAAAAAAAATTTTTTTTTTTTTTGATGGGGGGAAACCGGGAATTGAACTCAGGGTAATTCAATAACTAAGCCACAACCCCAGCTCTATTTTCTATTTTATTTAGAAACAGGGTCTCACTGAGTAGCTTAGCACCTTGCTGTTTCTGAGGCTGGCTTTGAACTTGCGATCCTCCTGTCTCAGCCTCCCAAGCTGCTGGGATTACAGGTGTGCATCACTGCATCTGACTCCCCTGTCTCAAAATTAAAAAAAATAAAATAAAATAAAAAGGAGCAGGGATATAGCCAAGTGGTAGAGTACAAGCCTCAGACTGGTTTCAAGCCTCAGTCCCCCGCCCTTACAAAAAAAAGATATTTGGTGTGTACAGACATTAAAAAAAAAATCTATCAGGAAGATTTCTGGAGTACATGGATAAAAAGTTTTAAATTAGGGCAGGTTCTGTAGTGCATACCTATAATCCTAGAGACATGGGAGGCTAAGATAGGAGGATCACAAGTTCAAGGGCGACCTCAGCAACTTAGTGAGGCCCTAAGCAACTTAGTGAGATCTTATCTCAAAATAAAAATTAAGCAAAAAAGGGCTGGAGATGTGCTTAGTGGCAAAGCACCCCTGTGTTCAATCCCCAGTACCAAAAAATTTTTTAATTAGCATAATAAACATTTAAAAAGGTAAGTGAATATTAGCAACATGAAACAAAACATAAAAAGAGCATGCAGGAATACAAGGTATGAAAAATAGCATTATTTCATGAGGCTGCAGTTGTAGGTCAGTGATAGAGCACTTGCCAGCATGTGTGACACACTGGGTTCAATCCTCAGCACCACATAAAAATAAATAAATAAAAGTATTGTGTCCATATACAACAAAAATTTTTTAAAAAGAAAAATAGCATTATTTCAGTGATCAACCTACATACAAATCACCCCCAAGACATGTTGACCTAAAACAACAATCAACAATATTTAGCACTGGAAATATAGCTCAGTGCTAGAGCCTAGCATGTGTGAAGACCTGGGTACCAACGCCCAGCACCAAAATTCAATAAATAAGTAAAGAAAATCAGAGGACCGTATCTGAAAAAGCTGACATATTTATAAATAATTTTTTCCACTAATATCAAACAAGTTCCTGTTTATAAATACTACCAGCTTATGTCTGTAATCCCAGCAATTTGGGAGGCTGAGGCGGGAGGAACACAAGTTTGAGGCCTCAGCAACACAGCCAGACCCTGTCTTAAAATAAAAAACAAAAAGGTCTGGTGATATAGCTCAGTGATAAAGAGGTCCTGGGTTCAATCACCAGTACCAAACTAAACCAAACCAAACCAAATTATAAAAAATAAATAATATCAGATCAGCTTCTTAAACAAATTGAACCTTTCAGAGGAAGAGGGGAATCCACACATAGTAACACCCACTAAACTCAATTCCTTTGTGACATTCTCTGGGCTCAGGTTTTCAGCACAAGAAGAGTCCAGTGAGCAACTCTGTCCTTCCTGAGAAACAAGACTGGAGGTGAGTGGGAACCCCTCTCCTTAAGCAGCTGAATGTATAGGCCACAGGTCCCCTCACCAATCAAGAACCTGCCTGACCCACCATGAAGAAAGGACACTCACATGTGGCTCCAAGTCTCAAATTTTATTTTCACCACATTCTGGGGACAGAATAACAAGGATTGGGACCTTGTGGAACTTTGCACAGTGATTTCTGGGGGATACTGGCCAGATCACCAAAGCCAGAGGATGAGGACTGGGAAGACAGCAAGACCCACAAGGCCTGGAATTGGATGTGGAGAAGCGTTTGAGGGCTTCTGCAGGTCTTGACTACTTGGCCAGTTGGTCTTCTCTGGGTGTGTAGCCATGTGTTTATTCAGAGGCTGAGGCAGGAGGTACGAGTGGCAGGACCTGCTCAGCTGCCTGTCTAGAAACTCAGCCTCCACAGGGCTCTGTCCACTGCTTTCCTCTCTGATCTAGAGTGAGAGAGTCAGCAGCCATGTACC